TGATTTGGCCAAATTTTGGACAGATAAATGGCTATTTGATACACCTCTAATGCAACATAATGGGGTGTTGAATATCCAAGATTTGAATTGCAACGTTGACAACTTTTTTAGGAATGGTTGGTGGAATGTGGACCAGCTGAGGAATGCTCTTTCTGAAGATTTGGTTCAAAAGATCACTGCTGTCCCTGTTGGGTTTGGGAACTCTGTACATGATGCTCAAATCTGGGGTATGTCTTCAAATGGCTTATTCTCTGTTAAATCTGCATACTCTATTTTTTTTAGAGAATTGGGAGATGTTGATCCCTTTTGGAATGACTTGTGGAGAATGAAAATCCCTCCCAAAATTCACATATTCATTTGGTTGGCTTATCAAGGTAAAATCTTGTCCAATGAGCAAAGAACCAAGAGGAATCTAAATTCTGATCCTTCTTGTCATTTGTGTGGTTGGCAAACTGAATCCGTTATTCATATTCTTAGGGACTGTCCCAGGGCTAAGATGGTATGGAATTCTGTTGTTAATTTACATTCCTCTCCTCACTTCTTCCTATCTGAGCTAAAACCTTGGTTCCTAGGCAACTTGCTCTCTAAGGTTAATGGACCTGATGGTATTGGTTGGAATATTGTTTTTGCCATTACTTGTTGGTATATCTGGAATTGGCGTAACAAGCAGATTTTTAACATTGCAGTGGATTTTCCTTTTAATCCTAGGAAAACCATCTTTACTGCGGTTGTTGAGTGGGTTAAAGCCGCTATTGGCTCTGGCAAGAAACCTGATAGAGTACTTGTCTTTTTGGCTTGGGAACCTCCTACAATTGGTCAACTTAAGCTGAATGTGGATGGTTCTAGAAGGGCTGCCACTAATATTATTGGAGCAGGAGGTGTTATCCGTGACTCCTCAAGTGACTGGATTGCCGAGTTTGCTGTGAATTTGGGCCAAGGTCATATCTTGGAGGCTGAGGTTTGGGGCCTATATTTTGGGCTAAAACTTGCTGTTGAAAAAAGTGTCACTAACCTTGCTATTGAAATGGATGCTGCTGTTGCTGTCTCACTTGTTCAACAAATCAATTCATTGCAATGCCATCCTCTTGCTGCTTTGGTGCATAGTTGTTGTGATCTCATGCGACAAATTGGAACTTGTCACCTTGTCCACATTTACAGGGAAAAGAATTGTGTTGCCGATTGTTTGGCAAACTGGAGTTATAATCTGGATTTGGGAATTTGCTTCTTTGATGAGGCTCCTGTCTGGGTTAGCTATCTGTTGATGGATGACTTACTTGGTCTTGCTAGGCCTCGACTCATGTGCGGGGCTTAGTTGTTTTCTGGGGGTTTCCCTTATTTCACCAAAAAAGAAAGTGAAGTTCGAAAGATAAAGCAACCAATTGGAAATGGCGTCATGCCCAACATGTCAATAGTCTGCTATGATAATATGAAGGACGTTGAAGTTTCATGTTAAAATTAATTGGCTATGTAGGAGTACAAGGGCGGAACCAGAAATTTTTTAATGGGTGGGCTAGCTAAAGTTATTAGCTTAAAATATAATGATAAATTTTTTTTGTACTTACATTTTCTAAAAATTTTCTAGAAATAAAAGTATACATTAAATCATATAAATCACATAATTGTAAACACAAGGAAAAAAATTGAAATTAGAGCCATATTATTCGTGAGAGGGTGAATTTCATTTAGAAAAATGCTTTTCTTTTGGAGACAAATTAATAGAACAATTTTAAAATTGATGTTGGGATAAACTTTGACACCAAATACAAATGTGGAAGATCTCTTACTATGCATATTGGTGCTGAAATTGTATATTTATTTATTTATTTTCAGTTAAAATATATACTATATGTATATTTAATTTGTTTTTTTCCCAAACTGTCCCTGGGCTACAGCCAAGGGCAGCCCTTGCCTTGGTTCCGCCAGTGTGAGTATGGTTGCCTCTTCCTTTAGTTCATACCTTTTCTTAAGTAATGCCAATCAGTAACACTAAATTTTCTGTCTTTTTCATTTTAAAACTGTCTTAAATTCTTCACTTTCTCTCCTCTCTATTGTCTCTCAAAAGGAGAACCCACTGGTGTTTCAAGTTTCGACATATGCTTTCCAAAATTTCAATTTCTGCGCATGCGATTGGTAAAACTGTTTTCATGGTTTTCAAGTTACATGGCTACAAACTTTTTAGTGCAAAGTTTGAACCTTTTGAGGCCGGCCTTGTGGATTCTTTTAACTAGTGGACAACAAGTGACAATTGCCTTGGTACCTTTTGATATTATTATTTTTGTCCATTTCTTTAATTGCATGCGTTAAACACATCTTTTAATGTATTTATACTTTATCTTTTTTTATTCTTTTTTGATTTTTACTTCAATTTTTGCTCACAAAATTGATTGGTGCCTTTGGCTACAATTTAAGGTCACAGAACCCCAACATTAAGTACAAAAATGGTAGTATAATAAACATTTTGAGATCCTTTGAAGATTTGGAATTTGGTATTTTTGATGGCTACTTGTCACCAAACCACAATTTTAATGACAAACTATATAAAATTTATAGATAAGGAAACCGACTATATGGCACCTTCAGAACCCCAAAATCTTAAATCAGATTTAGAGGAGAGATTTCATAACATTTTATTTTATCGGTGGATAAGATTTTCAAAAGAATAAAATTTAGTGATGCATTTCCTGCATGGTTGCATGCCATGTGCAATATTATTAATAATTAGGGTTTTGTTAACGTTACTAGCATAAGATATTAAGTCACTATAATTAGGTGAGCATGATTAGGCGACATGATTAAGAGATTAATTGTCCGTGGTTATCCAAGTTACAAATCTTATGCAAAACTTGCCATTTTTATATGCACCTAGTTTTCCGAGTTTCTGATATTTAACCTGCTAAAGAGTATTTGTAAGCTTTGCAATAGTGCTTAAAGATTTTGAAAGCTTTGCAATAGTGCTTAAAGATTTTGAACTTCTCCACCGATTGCCAATTGATTTTAAGTTGGATCCACACACTCTAATGCGGCATAATTAAGCAATTTTCACTTCAAAGTATTTAGGAAATTATATATGATTTTATTTGTTTAACTTATCGAATATATGTATTCAATTTGTTCATATCAGAATGTAAGTTGAATTGGTTCGAAACCCTGGTGAGAGTCGCCTCAATATACGGGATCATCACATGTATAAAGAGTCATCAACTTGTTTTTGTTTTTGTTTTTGTTTTTGTCTATTGCTAAGTATATGTTGTGTGGTTGAATTTGTTTTTCTAAAAAAAAGTATTAGTTTTATTATCATGCGCCTTTTTGTCATTATACATAATAAAAACACTTCTGATAAAAATTTACCAAACACTTTGATTTCTCACATCACTTTCAAATTTCATTTACCAAACGCCTAACAGCTTTATTTCCCAGCAAATTATTCTCGCAGCACAGTAAAATTATTTTTTTTTTAAAGCACAGCAATACCAATCTAGCCCTAAGTCAGATTGATATAGTATAGGTGATGATCTTGTGTGTGTGTGCCTATTGTAACCTCCTACACAACCAATAAAAAAGGGCCACATGTTAAAATATATATAATATAGAATATAAATGTATATAAAAATTAATTGTATTGGACCGATTCCTTGTGGTGGAAAACCAAGATCGAAACCGATCTGGTTCAATTTTTGTCTTGATTTTTGACTTTTCTGGTTAATATGGCTTTCTCCAATTGTTTTGGGTTTGATTTGGTTCGGTTTTGCGGTTTCGATGCCCATTCCTAACTTAAGTCCTTGTTGTGAGAGGCAGAGACATAGAGACGAAGAAGATCACACAAGCCGAAGAAAGGTCCAAAATGCTCAATGGACTTGAATTCTTCATATTGGGCCATATAAAATTAACAAGGGTTTAAAACTTCATTTTGAAGATTTTTATGGACACGCAAGGCAAATCCCTGGACACCCACGCACCCATCCAATTATTTTTTCACAATTTTCCACAAAGCAATTAGCCTGTGAAATATGATGTCTCTGAATTTTGTATGTTGTTTTGGTTATGGTTATGAATGTTGGAGTCATTCTTCCGCCTTATGTATGGCCCTAGGTAAGGTCATATATCTTAATTGTTGGCTCATGCTAACCAATTTAATTTAACGGCTAATTAATTTGGTCAAACGGTTAAAAGTACTAATACCGATATGTTATCAATACATGATAAAAAAATATTTGATACGACGGACATTTTGCACTCTTTATCTTGTTGTTAATTTTGGTTTCGGTTTGGATTGAGGATGAAGCCTAATGACGGCCCTCCCAAAGAGTGATGCAATTCTTAACAAATGAGATTGGCCGTAAAAAATGAGATTCCTCTCTTCTTTTCACCTGTTTTGGGACCATGTGTTTTAAACTAAAAGTTCATGTGGTAACAAGTCAACGTGACTGATCTGATGCACCATAAGTTTCTTTTTCGCAAGCAAATAAACAAGAGGCTATCGTGGAATGGAAGCATTTGGTCATTGGTGAGTGACCACGAAACCATATTGAAGGCTTATAAGTGAATATGCCATTCAGAAGTTGGAACAGAACCCTTCCCTTTCCTCGCATTTGGCCCTAGCTCCTCTATAATGTATTTCCACCCATCGATTGGTCTCCTCCGCCTAAATATGTGAGTCTTGATCAAACTAGCAATCTGCACTGCATGTCAATGTCAGATAACCAATAGTAAGAAAGAACAGAGGTAAAAGAGGAAGAGGTTTATGTGTGGAATAACCATTTTTAGAAACATGGTCAGGATGTGAATTTAAAGTTTGTGAACATTTCTCATAATCTGTACTCATTTGTGAAGTCAAAAATTGTTTTCAGTTGGGTGCCATGTGTAAGTCATTTCGGCTAGAAGTTGTGGGTATGTCCTAACGCTGGCGGTGAGAGTAGCAAATCTCCCCCTAAACTTTTTTTTACCCAAAAAAAATTGTTTTCATTTGGTGAGTTCAAAGTTAAAATTTTCCGTACCATAACAGGACTCCAGAGGATATGCTTTGGGTTAATTTGTGGCGCCAAATCCTCACACTCTCTCCTCCAAAGTCCAAACCCACAAATCCCAAACACCATGACTCTCTGCAACTACAACCCATTTCTCTCCAAAAACCCAATCTTCTCACTCCCATTTCATCCCACCACCAAAACCCAACTCCCCATTTCCTCGCTTTGCTGCTCAGCAAACCCCTCCCCTGTCCCTGACCCCAATCCCAGCACCAACAGCAGCAACAGTGACACCAACAATGGCGGCGGTGGGCCCAAGAAGAAGCTTTCAGACCAGTCCTCGTGGGAGGCCGAGGACTCCGAGGGAAGCGACTACTTGTACAGGTTGGGCAAAGAGGCCGACAACATGAACATCGCCGTCGGAGCCCGGGCTGGCCTCGTCGACGACCTCTTCGTCGGCAAGTTCCTCGGCCGAGACTCGGATATTGTGTTTGATTATCGGCAGAAGGTCACCAGGTCCTTTCAGTACCTTCAGGGCGATTATTACATTGCGCCTCTGTTCATGGTATGATCATATACTGTTTGTTTCTGCTTCTTCCTTTTGTGTTTCATCCAATTTTAGTGAAATTAATTAAGTTGTGAGTAATGCATTCTTCATTTTGAGTATTAAACTTCTTATGGATGTGAATTCAATGATCAATTGAATTGATTCTTGCAGTAGCAACGACAATTATTTGGTATCAATGTGAATTCTGTGTGAATTTATTATTAGTTGATGTCAGTAGATCACAATAATTGATCTTTAGCTTCTTCTTTTTTTTTTTTTTTTTTTTTTTCAATTATATTTTTATGCTGACAATATCTGGTAAGTGATTTTGTGTCTTTTTCGTTGCCTTTCTCTTTGACAGGATAAAGTTGGTAAGTTCTATGATACTGGGCAAAAGGTTAGAAAAAATACCTGTGATGTTTCGGGTAAAAAAAAGTAAGAAAACTTGGTAATAATCGTTGTACCTATCTCACCTTCCTGTGCTACATTCTTTTCCAATATTTTCTTCAGTGGTGTTGGTGGCCATTTGCTATATATATTTTGACGTGTTTTGTTTGTCCTCTGAGTTTGCAAATTTACTATACAGTTTATCAGACAGTTGCTCAGTTTTCCAAGGGCCTAACAGTAGTTCTTACCTTTGCCCGTATTTACATTGTGCAGAGGAAGGCTAAAATAAAATAACCTAGACAATAAATTTGTCAGTGTTAACTATTGATATTACGACTACCAACCACCACACCTCGTTCAACCTATTTCATGGAAGCCATGTGTTTTTTTTTCTTCGAGAATGTTAGACACAAAAATAATTGGGTCTTGTTTCAAGAGTGTAATACTAACACCATAACGGCTTGTACAAAAACTCTACGTTGTCTTCATTTACACTTAATGTTATCCGTCAGCGGCCTTGTAGTAGGGATTCTTATATTCATACATGTGTGTCCTTGATGGAACCTGTAATTGATAATTTTAATGTTTTACTATTGGATTCATTCATGTTTTGTGCAGCTTATCAAAGTCATCTTTATCAATAAGTATTTGTTGTAATCTTATATATGTGGGTTTTTCTTAAAATGCAGTTTGCCATATTGCGAAGAACTACCTTGCTCATCTTCTCAATACTAAAGTTCCTTTAATCCTAGGTATATGTAGTCACAATAACTTTTTACTGGTTGTCGTAAGGATTCTCATTGAACTTGAAAGTTGATAATTTTATGAAATTTTTTATTGTGGGTATATCATGTTAAGAGTGTTCAATCATGTTTCTTTTTAAGAGTTTTTCTGATTCTTAAGATGTTATAACTTGTTATTACATCTTGCAAAGTCATATGCATCCATATGGTAAAAAATATTGGTCTAACTTCTTCTTTTTGGTTGCTTTTAGCCGTTTACTTTAAACTATCTCATTGCTTTTAATATCTTTTGAATGAGAATGATAATGAGTTTTAGTCTTCTTACGTGGTTATATGTTAATAGACGTGCTCTGGAAATTTATCATTTTATCTTACAGGTATTTGGGGAGGTAAAGGACAAGGAAAATCATTTCAGACTGAACTTATTTTCCAAGCCATGGGAGTTGAACCTGTAATTATGTCTGCTGGAGAATTAGAATCAGAAAGAGCTGGTAAGATGAGTTTGTAGAATGTCTATACTGCCATTTCTTCCATTTTCTTTTCTCCATGGCTACTTCCTAAATTATTGATGTTTTCTAATTATACCACTCAGTATAAATTTTTATGTACATATATATAAATTCTCTGTGCAACTCCTTTTACTAATCTTAAACAACATATTGAGCTGTCATATTCTGCAAGGATAGTGGAAGACTTTTTACTGTGTTCTTAACTTTGTTGTATAATCATGCTGTGTATAATCAAAAGTTACTTTACAGGAGAACCAGGAAAACTGATACGCGACCGCTATAGAACTGCCTCTCAAGTGGTCCGGAACCAAGTTAGAAGCTCTACCACTTTCACTGTTAATATATGTATGTCTTGGGTTATGAAGTTAAACAGTGTTTAATCGTTGCACAAAATTTACTTTGATTTATGATTCTCCCTCTTTTTCTTTCGTCTGCGTATACTGGGGTCTGTGAACATTGCCTATGTGTGTGTGTGAGAGAGAGAGAGAGAGAGAGGTTAGCATTGTCATCTCAAAGAAGGTATAGAGATGTGTTCTCCTGAAGTCTGAAAGAAAGCACTAGCAGAGCACCTTTAGCTCCTTCCCTCTTCCAAATCCTCTGGAGGATAGACCTGTTTGAGAATTGGTTTCCCAAGTAGTAATTTATTTCTTCTTTTATATTAGAAAATAGATTCTGCTATAAAAGAATAACTCGGTCAAGCACTAAGTAATTCAAATTTTCACTTCTCTTGTTGTGTACATCATGCACATTTATTAGATAAAGCTTCTTTAGATCTCTTTCGGATTTTTATTAGACACTCCATCTGTAATAATGGGGAACAGCTTTATAAAATCTGCGGTTACGATTGCCTACTGGATGGTTTAGAGTCTAGACTTTGAATTTAAAGTGTATGGCTAATGAATAAAAACCTAGGTCCACTTTCATTGGTCTAGTCCGTTCATTGCTTATCTCTTTCTTCTCTATGGGTCAAGAGGCCTAAGGCTAACTTAACACTACCAAGTCACCGGAAACTGAAAGTGAGATTGTAGAATTTGAAAATAATTGTCAGAAAGCTAGGAAGGATTTATTTAGGGGTTTCAGATTTTCCTCCTTTTTCATCCCCTTGATGCTGGGGATGAAGAACCATTCATGACATGATCTGAAAGGATTAGATTGAAGGACACACTGGAAAATTGCTGGCAAGATACACCATATAGAGAAATTTAGAAGTGCTACAGTAATGAATGAACCGCCCTTCTAATTTTATCCCCACATTCACACCGGTGCCAAACTCAGCTGCATTTAAACTAGAACAGTGCTTCAAGGGTTATGTATTTAAAGATCATCTGTCACATCCGTTGGAAAAATGACAGAGAGGATCCTTCAGCTAAAGATTGAAGGCTGTGCTCACCATCATAGAAGACAACACGTCAAATTAGTTGCTTCCAAAAAGTTGTTTTACAGTCTACATATGTTTAGGTCATGCTAGTGATGTTTCATTCATGTTAGTGATGATGAACAACCCTTTTTTCCAACAATTTTAAGTTTTTATATATTTTTATTTTATACCTTTCTATTCTTCTTGGTTATTTCAGGGCAAGATGAGCTGCTTGATGATCAATGACATTGATGCTGGCCTTGGTAGATTTGGTGAGAACTGTATGATTTAGACTGGACATTTGATAACTTACCAAGAGAAAAAAGGAAATGCTTAGCATATGCATCAGCCAGTACCAACCTTTTCCATTCTTTCTTTTCTTTCTCTTTTTTTTTTTTTTTTTGGGTTTTTCGGGAAGAATGTGTTTATATGGTTTTATATCTTTCCAACATTAGTCATTGTGTGTAGGAATGACTGAAGACCTTTTAGTTTTATTCATGTTTCAGTTTTAGTGAAATGTGTTATTGTTTATTCTTTTGTAGGAAACACTCAAATGACAGTCAATAATCAAATTGTTGTTGGAACATTGATGAATCTATGTGATAATCCTACAAGAGTTAGTATTGGACAAGACTGGCGAGAATCAGACATTACAAACAGAATTCCTATCATTGTTACAGGAAATGATTTGTCAACAATTTATGCTCCCTTAATCCGTGATGGAAGGATGGAAAAGTTTTACTGGTATGTGATTGTTCAACAAAGGATAAATTTTCCTTTTTGCTGGTATGTGATTTTCGACGAAGGATTAAGAGCTCCTGTTTAGTGATTTGAAGGAACAAACCAGTTTAATTTGACATCTATTTCTTCCACTGGAAAAAAACTTAACGTTCATTTTTGAAGTGTTCAAGTATACCCAGTTCCAAGCTCCAAACTTGCACATTGAAAGGAGAAGTTGTCTTGGAGATTTGTGCCTTCATCATCCTTGAAGGAAATAATTGCCTGCATAATTTCTTATTTAAATTTTCCACATATCAGTGAGTCTTTGTTTGAATGAAAAGAAAAGTATTTGTATGTATGGGGATCTTTCCTATTGGAAATACAATCAATTTTCTCAAGAAAATCGGTTATCTTCTTGTCCATGACCTTAGTTGGATAGGTGTTTTGTACGTCTTTTCCTATAGAAGTGATTTCTTCATCAACCTTGTTTGCATGAACCACATGATTAATAATATAATCACCACAGGATGGCGAATAACATGCATGTTCCATTGGAAACAGCTGTCTTTCCCTCTTTTTCTGTCGTGAATTCTCTATTGAATATGTTGAGCCTTTTTCCGTAAATTTGGACTATGTAGCCAAGATTACTGTGGATTACAATGTTGTTCAAGATAGTTGTACACCAAATATAGTTCTTGATGTTCTGGTACTGAATTGCACTATTGTTATTGTTAATTACATTCTTCTTTTATTGACCACACCGTATCTTTAATAATTTCTGCTGTATGTTGAATGCTATTCTATACTAATTGTTTGTGTATTTTTTAATTTAATTTTATGGAGTTTATGTTTGATACTTACTTTTCCGTTTTTGATTAGAAGGAACCAAGACATGTCACCCTTGTTTGATATGTTGTTTCTGAAACAGGCAGCCTAACCACGAGGATATCATTAATATTGTTCACAGAATGTATGAGAAAGATGGCATGTCTAGGGATGAAGTTGTAAGTATAGTGGACACTTTTCCTAATCAAGGTAACCCACTGCTTTCATATCCTCTCTGTTCACAAAATCAGTGCCCTCAATTTTCTTTTCAGCATGTATAGTAATTCCAATCTGAAAATCAATAGACAAGAAACACTTGTTTTCATCTTCTCAAAAAAGAAGAGAAAAGAAGCATAGACAAGAAGCACTTCTACACACCCATATACATGTGGATTCTCAGTTTCAAGATGTTCTGGATTCACCATAGGCTGTTGATCATAACGTCCTCAATTGTCTGAAAGTGTGTGTGTGTGATCTTGACCAGTCGGTTTAAATATTCTGAATTCGTACACTGTCACATCTTGCAACGTAGTTAAAATAAAACAAACAGTATACTAAAGGTTAAAATAGTAATATAAAACATTATCTTCCCAAGTATCATATTCATATGTGGAAAGCAATCTCACACGCACAAAGGAAATGGCACTGCGTATGTTTGAGTCCCTGTAAACATTACTAAAGAAAATAACTTTTTCTTTTCTCCACTTGATGTCTTTTGTTATATACAGTACTAAAATTTTCATTTCTAACATCTTTCTAGAACATTAAACCTGCATCTTTGCTTGGGTAAATTTCTTTTCGAGCGGTTGGGAGGGGGTGGGTTGCTGTGAGAGTTGAATCTGAAGATTTTTGTTCACTGTTACTTTCATATTATAATTTGAAGACTTGTGCATTATAGTTTATTTCTTTTTATTGTTATTACTATTTACTTTCGATGACTGGGCAGCACTGGATTTCTATGGAGCTTTGAGGTCTCGAACATATGACCGGTCAATTTCTAAGGTACATGACAATCTGGTTTGAAATGTGCGACCACTGTAACATATTATCGAATTATTATATCAAGTGAAAAGATTGGGAAGTCAATTATGTCTTTCTGTGATTGAACATTTGAATCCTATAAATACAATTTGTTTTTTACCCAGTGGGATTTAGATGTTAAATATCATAGTGGTAATCTGTGTTACTGTTGAGTATTGACATACTATTTGTAGGATCATGCCTAACTTGTTGCCTAGTTTTCATGCCTGATGCCTAACCTGTTGGGCATTATATTCAGTAATGCTCCAGCTTCTCAAAGTCTTCATGCCTAACTCATTGATGAATAACCAACGAAACAAGTAATCATGAAAATTCAGAAGGATAAATTATGGTGTAACCTTTAGTGTCAAAGAATCTGAGAGACCAATGGATGTTAAGCCATTAGTTAACACAATCAATATAAGAGAACAGAATTTGATATTTCATGTAAATCTTTGTTATCTGTTCCACAAGAATTCTAAAAGCGCAATGCTAAAAAGAATGATGTTTTCAAGAGGAACCCTGCAGATAAACTTGATAATGAGAGATAGCAGCGCAAATAGTTCCCATTATGAGTTAAAACTAGTCTAGGTTAGCTTGATTTCTAACATCTCTAGTTTTATGTCATCTTATTTCTTGTAAAACTTTTTAATTAGTTATGCACATTTGTTCTCTAACTAGTTTCCTTTTCTTTTTTAGTGGGTTGAAGATATTGGTGGTGTTCAAAGTCTGGGAGACAAACTTGTAAAGCGAAGAAAAAATGACAACCTTCCTGCGTTTACTCCTCCAAAGGTAGTGTCATCAATTTTAACCAGGGTTTCTTTACAAACCTGAAATCCATATCACAGCTGAACAAACGATTGAGTCGTTTTCCGTTTCCCTTGTGCAGCAAACAATTGAGGCTTTACTTGAATCAGGCTATTCTCTGCTCAAAGAACAGCAATTGATAATGGAGACTAAACTTTCAAAGGAATACATGAAGAACATGGATGACTAGAACTTGGGATGTCATTGTTATGCCTTGTAATTTTGTTCTGTTATGCAAGGGTGAGTGGAATGTCCTTGGCCTGTTGCATTTGTTGCATTTGCATAAATGGATTTGTGGAAATGTCATTTTCAATCACTGCAAAGCAAAACTGTCAAAACACACTTGCACATATATATTATAATTTTTTTTTTCTTGTTTTCAGACAAATCCAACGGCGAGCGTGTGTTTATCGCTAATGGTAAAACTGTATTTTCCGTCGTATTTGGATGAAGTTTTGTTTTTCTTTTATATTTCTGGTTTGATCAGAAGTGCATGTATATCCACTAAATTCATAACCATACGACTACTATGGTGACAATTCATAGCAGCAGATGATTAAGACATTCTTTCTTTTTATTGGAAAGAAAATGATTTAGCAATTTGTATTATATTATGATATTATCACCCATCACATTCTGAGAAATCACTTCTCCTTAATTGGCTTCCAAGCCCTCTGAACAAATTAAGCTACTCAGCCACTAAGCTAATGCTCAACCAATGATTCAGCTATGACATATCTCTAGTGTCTTGTAGCACTTTAGCAAATGCCACGTGGAATTCAAATTGACCCCTTCTTTTTCTAGCTTCTAATTTTATTTATTTTTATTCTACCTTGTAATTTAAGTTGTGAATTTTGGAGTTATTCACCTTTAACCACGACCACTCATTTTTCAGGTATGGTCCACTTGTGAAAAACACTTTGTTTGTCTTAGCATTTTGTCACAGGAAAATAATTATACGGTTTCAATTTATTTTTAAGGTAATTCTTTACTGAGAATTTTTTTTTATTTGTTAACCAAATTGCGACATGTTCATGGGCCAGTAACCCTGGCCACCCAAAAGTTTCAAACACCCATACAATAACATGTCATTGTGTATAATCATATTCAAATATATATATATATATGGTACGTGAATTTTCTTAACTTGTGCAAAAATCAATTCAACTAAAGCTTGTTCTTTATAATTTATCTCCCCACACATAAAATCCTAGCTCCGACCCTGACCAGATGCATCCAAGTCCCAACAATGTCGTTCTTTCTTTTCTAAAAGGAAGAAGGATCTCTCTTCAGAAGTTTTGGCTGCGTATATAACACATACACGACATACATTAAAGAGCAATCTTACAACTTACAAGAACCTCCACTTTTCTCTCACTAAATCTTAGACAGAATATGTGCTTCGAAGGTCAACCATCAACAAATCTGTGGACAAAGCAAACTGCGTCTGAGATAGATGATTTATGGACCCTAAGCTGTTTATATAGATAATGCTTTATCCAATATTCATCTGGATGAACTTAACTTGGAATATGAACATTCGTTGAATTTGCTTTATTTTTCACTTTCCTTTTTCACATGACTTTGTGAATAATTCTTAGGGCAAGAGCATAAGTCCATGATTATCCAACTCTACTTTGATTAATAAATTTTCAAATCCTGCTTTAAGCATTTTTTTTAACTTCATTATTTATGTTGCTAAATGGGCAAAGTCTTGAAAGGCAAAAGGGGGCCACAGACAGGTTCTTTACGCATATCATCAATAAAAGAAAGCATTCATGGAATCTAATGCTTAAACGTGAAACAGCTGAAAGTTATTTCTATATAACAAAAGTAGATTTGCATCTTTTAGGAGAGGGGGATTCGAACTCGGGTGAAGAATGGGAAGCACAGCCGCTCTAGCCAATTTGCCTATTTTGCCTATTGATAACTCGAGTCGAGCATTGTTTGCAAACCATGCAAAAGACTATCTTAATTGCCAATTTTATGTGTCCTAAGGGTTGGTGCTTTACATTGTAAAGTCGCTTGCAAATGCTAAAAGAAGATGCACAATAGCACTAATTGTGCTATCTTGTCTCATTGGCTTTGAGTTAAAGCATGGATGCCTTTGATAAAGAAAAAAAATGATATGATTGGTTGGGAAGGCATCACTTGTGAGCTCATTGTCTTTGATGCTAACATAATATCACATACTTGACAAAAGGCCTTCATCTCCTTTTTCATATGCTCCCCAATTTTGTTTTCACATTATTCAATTCAAGAGTAAACCCAATAAGGAAAGTTTCATGATGGTGTCGAAATTTCAAATTTTCAACACCATTCACGACATGAAAGATGCTTCATCATCCTTTTTGCGTAGACAAAATACATACGATATCAGTGGTTCTCAGAGTATATAGCATGATTCTCATCTTTTTATTGTTGTTGTTATGGTTGTTGTTGCAAACTTGTCCTACAAAACTAGGCTCCACTCTTTTGTTTTTATTATTATTATTATTATTTTAGAAAAAAGACGATATGATATAATTGAGGAAAGAAGTACAATTCAAAACAGATAGGCACAAGCGAAGAGGATTGTGCGAACATCTCTATACATGAGGGATTGATCATCATCGATCTAATCAAGTAACTTACTCTCTCTCCGTTAAAAAGTGATTAAAGGGAACTACAAATCCTCGAAAAGTACACATTAATGACAGCGGGAAGATCTAATGTTCAAAGCAAATCTTGCAACAAGGTGATTTGTCACGCAATTAGCTATGCGGTGAATATGGATAAAATCATCCCCAGTGATCAAAGACAACAAACATTTAGTGTCTTTTTCCATGGGACCAACTGAAGAATTAATTATCAGAAGACGAAGGCCTAAGTGGCGAGACGATGTGGAGAGCCACACTCTCAAAGCTTCCTCCACTCATTAAAATTTCAAAATTCCATCATTGTTGTCTTCCTTAGGGACACTAGTGACTAGTGAGATAGAGAAGCATATTAAGACCCATGGGGTTTGGTCCAGTGGTTGGGGCTGGGTCCACCATGTTTGGCCGAATGTGAGCAGGCTCCTCAATGAGGTCCTGCGTTCGATGCTCCGCATGTGTAAAAGAACCCCAGGGGGAGAGCTTTAACCTTAACCCCTCCCCGGCTCGGAGTGGTTGCACACTTGCCACCATTTTAGTTCACCAAAAAAAAAATTCCATCATTGTTGTCTTCCTTAGGGACACTAGTGACTAGTGAGATAGAGAAGCATATTAAGAACATCTGCCAAGCCTCAATTATTTGTATACAATCAGTCGCTTTCGTAGTACATAACAAATGGCTTTATCATTGTCTTCAAGTTAAGGAGAAAGTTTTGGATTTAACTCTTTAATCCATTGAAAACGTAATAAAAGAGTTCCTTATTTGTGGATGCGAAGATTATTAGCATTCAATTCTGATAGGGAGATGCCTAACTAACTATTAGGGTTTAGTTTAATTTCTCTTGACTTTATAAAAAAAAAGTATCGACTTGGAATCATTCTACCCAGTAATAGTAGGGTTAGAATTTGACCACCTATCAGTCTATCACACCTAATTTTTGGGTCAAGCTTGATATGTTTCTTTTGGGATATGGAATTAGCACTCGTTCAGTCTCTAGTATTTCATTGGATTTTACCAATACTAGGTCTTTCGTATATTATTTCTTTCTTATTCAATGTCATGTTTGAGTATATATGATTTTCATTCACAGTATATGAATGTATCATTCTAGTATATGTATATTGCTTGATGCGCATTACTGGATTGTTCTTAATATAATAGATTATATTAGATTGCATTAAGATTAGATAAAACATTGCTATTTTGTGTTTAGTTACGGTATCTCAAGGCTCGAGCACCAAGGTTAAGGCTGATTTTCTTGTGTCGGGTTATTGGTTTGGCTCTAGCGAGATAAGGTCCTCAACTTTCTTCATGGTATAGAGTTAGTTCGCCCATATTCTTCGTCCAACGTGATTTTATCGATCTACTCATATTATATTATGTGCATTTATATATTAATATTTAATAATATACGCTTGAATCCATGACATATCAACTAATCAGTAACACTTGCGTAATGATATAACGGTCATATTAAGATGGTGACGTGTTATATTATAATTGGTAGTCTCAAAAGCTTGAGCACGCCACCAAACGTTTCTGCACCATACAGTATTGAACACGTGGAGAAGAGAGCTTGCCGACACCTTTCAACTTACAGAAAGCTTAACAAAGTCAAAAAAACTCTATTGGAATTCAGAATTTCTCATTGAATTTTAATAGTGCTAATTTACAAAAAAAAATTAGGCAAAAAGTTGTTCATATAAATTCAAACAGTCAAACCGCGCGCCCTCTCCACGGATTTTATTGGACTTTCTGTTTATAAGAAGAAGAAAAAAAAAACCAAACATAGGACCCCGACAAAACAGATATGATGAAACTTACAAAAAAGTCCAAGGAAATGGTAAAATTGTAACACGTGTTACATTCCCATTCAACGATGTATTCTTTTGGTCAGCCGTTCAACTTGGTACTAGTATGGATTCTAACACCATAGGATTAGGCCTTTACAAAATATGCGTACCTAACACTCTAGGTATTATCTGTGGACAAGTGACAAACACACACGGGTATATGTATGATCTAGCGTAGCGTATTTTGTAGTTTAAGTAGTTAAGAGTGTGATTCATGCACTCAAAATCTAGTGTTTGATGTGAGATATATGCGGAACGTGTTCTTCATCAATCGGTGATCAACTCCAGCTTCGATTCCCCATAACACTTTCCTGGGTAGAGAAAATTTCTTTTTCTTAATTGATGTTCATTTGAATTTAAAGCAATCTCAAGAAAGTGTTATTATGTTACAACGATACTAGCATCAATAAATGCATGGAGTAGCTGTTGCCCCTGCCCCACTAGTGTAGTGATAAGGAATTTTGTCTCCACCCAGTTGATCCTGGGTTCGAGTTCGAGACATGACATTGTAAAATGGGTGTGATTTTGCACTCCTTCCCCCTCCCTAACTATTGGCCAAAAAAATAAAACCATGGAGTTTTTGTATAACCAACACCCAAATACAGAAATAAAAGAATCATTATGTAATAAACTTTTATTTAATTTGTAGAATGAAATGATATGCCACCCAGGTTTTATAATAATTTTTTACAATTTTGCACTCCTTCCCCCTCCCTAACTATTGGCCAAAAAAAAAAAAACCATGGAGTTTTCGTATAACCAACACCCAAATACAGAAATTAAAGAATCATTATGTAATAAACTTTTATTTAATTTGTAGAATGAAATGATATGCCACCCAGGTTTTATAATAATTTTTTACAAGTTTACTCTTACGTATACAACTTGCCTATTGGTTGGCCTCTAGCATCTTTCTTGGATGTGATCAATAAGAATAAGAGGGAGGCCAAACAATTGGCTTTGCCTTTCTGGGCTGCTGCTCCCACCCACGGTTATGGCCATTAATAATCGGCAATTAAATATAAGAATATCGGTAATAAGGTTTAGGGCTTTTTTTTAGATGGAAAAAGAATCTTGGGTTTAGTTTAGTAGTAGTTTATTGAGCTTAATTGTTAATTGAATCCACATATTATCCATCATTTTGAGTTAGTCTAGTGGCTACAATTATTGCAATGAAACCTTTTTTTCTCTGCAGCCACTAAACCAAAGTGAATTATTCACCATGAGCACTCAAAGCAGCTGTGATTGGCCTTTTGTGGTTTGTTTGTATTTGTGGCTAGCGAGCGAATTTTTTAGCTGAATTCATCGCAATAATAGAATTTCTCAAAACAAAAAAAGAGCAGTTGTGATTCTAATTATGGTATAATTACAATTATTAATTATATAAACAAGTATCTTTATGCAAGCAACCATTACATGAAGTTTCTCTCTTTTCTCTCCAACCAAAATTAAAATTTTTAAAACTCTCTAGCTTCAATCTTCCCCTATGGCCAGAACATTATAATTACACTACTGGTTCCTGGCAAGTAAAAATCTTCATACCCTTTCATACAAAGAAGAGAGAGAGAGAGAGAGAGAGAGAGAGAGAGAGAGAGGTAATGCGCGTCTTTTCCTTAGTTCCCTCTTCTTCTTTTTTCGATTACCCAATACAATTGGATAAGGTCATTTTCAACTTTCACATAATTTAAGAAGACGTCGAGAAGAAAACTGAACAAACAGTAAAACCAGATTAGATGTGTCCATCCATACATATACATCCATACATACTTTTAATAAAGTCTTATAAAGTAGGGTTTTGCAAATAAAGAATATAATAAACAGAGAGAGAGAGAGAGAGAGTGTCGGTGGCACTTATTAGAAGCTTATAACAGACAAACCGGTGGGCAGGCAGGTCTCCACTGTGATTTTTTTCCAAAGCTCTCTCTCTCTCTCTCCGAGTCTCTCTAAAACCATTTCTCAATCTGCACGAAATACAGATATTTTGCTAAGGTATATGTAGCAAGAGAGAGAGAGAGAGAGAGAGAGAGAGAGAGATCATCAGAGTGTATGTGTATGTGTGAAAGAGAGAAGGGTGCAGGCCTGGCAGGGCAAAGGAGCATAGCGATTAGAGTGAGTAGTGGTGGTGGGGGGTATAACAAGAAAAAAATCAAAGGCAGAAAGAAAGTAAAAGTTATCAAAGAAAGGTTGATGGATTTTTGGCACAAGATGATCTTCCCTGTCCGCCGCGTCTGGCTTACTGTCTCTGCTCGCATCAAAGCTCGCAAAAATGGTCAGTTCACAATTTTTTGTTTTTCTTCTGTCCACATATATAATATCTCTGTTTTTATTTATTTGGTTATTTCTTTTATACATACCATACCATGTTCTCATGTTCTCGGTAATAACGTCCGGACGTCCGGAGAAAATATATATAACATAATTGGGATGAATAAGAATTTAATCTCTATTTGTTTTCAATAAGAAGCAAAGTTTTAGTTTCATTTCTCCCTATCAATAAGTCTTCTTTTCTTTGTGATTGAACAAGTTCTCCAATGTTGATCCATCATCAGTGATTTAGTGCTGCATTTTTTTATAAATTTTTTGCTACATCATTAAATGGTTTTTTTTATAGGCTAGATCCCACCTCTCTCTCTCTCTCTCTCTCTCTCTCTCTCTCCCGCTCCCTCTCCCTCTCCCTCTCCCTCTCCCATGATCTCTGGCCACCACATCTCATCCCCTACTTCTGGAGTTGTGGTCCCTTTCTGTATCCCCCATATTTATAATTATTTTAACAACACTTCAACATCATTAGCCACATAACAGTGTTCATATTTCAATATCTTTGATTTCCCTCATTAAAAAACTAAAGTCGTTTTCTTTGATCCGACTTGAACTAATATATCTTTTCCCTCCCTGTTTTCTTTGTACATTTTTTTTAACATATATAGTTTACCCTTACAAGCAACTGAATTATTTTTTCCAATTTGCATCTCTTTTTATTTTACCACAAGGTCAAATTTATCTAAACATGTATATATAATAAATATTGTCGGTGCTTGATTAATTGAATTTGTCAAAATCAACGATCGGTTTGGTTTTAAAATATTTAATCCCAACTGCCGATTGATGACTCTGCATGAGAAAGTCTTACAAGATTAAATAAATTTGAAGACTCATGAGTCATACCTAAAAAGTACAAGTGTGGCTTTTTTTTTTCCCTCTAATTTTTAATAATTAATTAAGGGGGCTCATAGAAAAATAATTAATTAAGTGGTTCTGGTAATTGGAGATTACTTTTAATTCATTTTGTCAAAAAAATAAAATAAAATAAACAATAGTATTTTCTTGTGATGATGTGCTGCTTTTTCATTTGAGCTCGCATCTCGCTGGCCTCCCCACTAAGCAAGTTGTTTCTTACCAAACCTCCACAATTCTCTAGTGAATGCTTACAAGTTGAAGTTGGCGTCATTTGTTTGCTAGGCGCAGGATTCATTGAATCATTGTGGATGCAAATTCATCGTTTTCTAAACGACTTTGAAATGTTGATTGATGTGTGATTAACATAAAAAAAAATGAACAACGATTGTCGACACCTTACACACGTAGCTATATAGGCAACTTTTTCTTGCATATATTTTCTTGCTTAGAGCTACGGTTATAGGAATTCTTTAAATTTACTATTATAAATATAAAATAACTGATAATTTATCCAAGTTTAATATACTTTGCCATTTGAGAAAACAAGCTTTGATTCCATCATGAGGGGAGTTTCTTTCCACCACCACCACAACCACAACCAATGATGAATTTAACCAAACCTTTCAAATAGTTATAAAAACAGAGTTTTTATTTTGTTTTGTTTTGTTTGTTTTTTTTGTAATTTCTTGCAAATAGGCCCAAAAGAAAAAGAAGATTGGCACATAGATTATTGAAAGATCCCATTGCTGGTGCGCTACCCACTAGAGTAAATTAAGGCGGGCCAAAGCGTGTGTGATTGTACGGAGTTTCCTAGTTAGTGATTAACTCCTGCCATTCAAATTGATGAACCTACTTGCAAGGGACTTGTAGCGAAAGTGATTAAGATCAATTACAGGGACTTGTAGCGAAAGTGATTAAGATCAATTACCCGTGCACTTGAGATTTTAGGTTCGATTTCCCCCTTTCTCAATATCTCTCTCGTATAAAAATAATAAAAAAATTGATGAACCTACTTTAGGGACCATCCAATTTCTATTTTACATCTCATAAAAGTAGTCACCAATCTTCTGTTTTGTCTTTGGGTCGAAAGCTGAGGGGCCTAAAGAGATAGGATCAACATCTTTATTGATTCAACTTGATGTCCACCAGATCACTAAAATAGCGGCCTGACAACAACCTCGACATATTATTCTAATCACTATCTTGAGCATGAAATTTCCCACACCAAAAAATATCATTGTCGACAGTTGATGTTTGTTGTTTGAACCACTAACATCTCTGCCACTTGGAAGCATCTTGTATCAGATGTATCACATGATATCCCAACTACCTGGGACATCATCATGATAAGTGTCACATTATTTCTTTGGTTGTGGTCAATATATTAATGGCTAACATGGGTTCAATTAAGTTGGTTTTCTAGAATCTAATCGAACTTTTTTTTTAATAACAATTGATGTGTGTTAGACCAGTTGGTCAAGACAATGAGCCCGCTTTCCTTACACCGAAGTTCTTAAACTGATGTATCAAAACACGAACAATGTATTTGATTTAGAATACTTATCAAGAAACTAATCTGTGGTTGCTAACTCTTTGGCTAAGAAGGGACATTTTTCTTTAGATACTTGTATTTGGTTTAGAATCTCATCTCATGTCACTTACAAGTCTTGTTTTGGAGCAGGTGCTGGACTTTTGAAGCTTCATGACGATGTACAAACCTGTGGATATCAAGATGTGCAGGTGATGTGGCAGATGCTGAGCAGAGACACTGAGCTGACAAGTCACCATTCCAAACGCAAACAAAGACCCTTCTGGAGAGTTTTTGAATTTTCTAGCAACAATAGTAAACCGTCACCACTCTCTTCAAATCATGCATGAAATTAAACAGTCAGATACTATAAAAATAGTGACAATTAATAATGTGTTGCCGCTGCCCCCAAAAAAAAAAAAAAAAAAAAAAAAAAATGACATTTGGCATCATATTTTTACCGTCAAATTGCTCCAAGACTTACAGTGGCATATGGTACACAAGCTGTTGCAGGTGTCAAAACCACAGAGTGATATAAGGTGAAATTGTGTATCTATTTTCACCTCTATTGTGTGTAAATTAGTACTATCAGAGATGACCCAAGTGGTCGTTTGTAAATATGAATAATGTTTTTCATTGAAAAATCAGAAAAAGAAAAGCAGTTCATTCAAAAGAGCCTCCATACATAGATAGAGAGCTCATTTTTCCCTATTATCATTTGTAAATATAAATAATATAAGTTGATGGTTCTGAATTTCGTAACTGAGTTTGACTTGCACCATGTGTAACGAAGTTTGAAATTAGAATAATGCTACTGTTACCACATTTACAACAATAAAAATAAAAACAAATCGTCAAAAACAATCTATCCATCTTCTTCGACGTGTATGTGGTAAAAATGCATTTAAGAAAATCACAATTTTTCCAAAAGGTTAAAAACGAAGAACATGTTATGCTGCTAACTTATCTTATTAATAGGATACAATCCATGAAATAAAAATGATGAAAACAGAAATAAATGGAGATATATAAAATTACGTATCCTTACTAATATGTAAATAAGTTAAACTTGGTAGCCAAGTTAATATAGAAGAAACAAACATCCAACATAACTACACATGCTACAAAATGTGTTACCTAAAATTCAGGTAGAGTAAAAGACGAGCACCATTGCTACATATGAGGGGTGTATTGAATTGGGATTTTGGTGGATATTGTAACAAAAAAGAAATTTTCCTTTCAAGAAACAAAAAAGAACTACACTGCAGAAATATTACTTACAAAACAAACTATTTTGGTGTTAAAATCTTGGAAACGACCCCATCCATCGGGTGCTTGGTAACATTACGTTCCAAAGATAAGCCGGAGAATTACAAGAGTCATCCTTAGACGAGGGCAAAGAATACTCATTAACAGGAAAGAATACAATTGTATAAAAGAACAGTTTAAGAGAGGGAAGATTAAAAGGGGCCAGAAAACGAAGGGGGTGCCATAAGGCCTTCGGTTTTCTTCTCTTCATTTCTTTCGTATTAAGTCCCTATAGATGTACAAAAAATATTAACTAACTTTTCTTTAACCGCCTTCTTCTGTCGTCTTTTGTTAATCAAATGTCCAATGAAATCATTATAGACAATTCTGCTTACTGAATCTGTCATCCAACAAAAAGCCTGCCAAATCTAGAATGCATAGTGTGCCTGCAATGCATTCATTATAGTCATCATCACCACTTCATCACAAACGGAAACAGAAGAAGGAAAAAAAAAAATACAAGCAAATTAAGAAGCTTGCAGGCAAAGTTAAAAATTTTCGTATAGACAACTATTGTGGAAAGATTTTTAAAAAAAAATAAGAAAGAAAAAAGAAAAGAAGCTGAAATCCAACTCATAAGAAAAAATAAATAAAACGAATGTACGGCCTTTTATAGTATAGGGCATGACCATTGGGGGGCAGCGGGGGGTTTCTAAAATGCCTACTTTATATACCTCAGCTGCAGATTGAGCAAGAATAACAATCTACAACCCTTTTGCTCCCTCAAATTAAAGATGACCTAATCCCACTTTTCAAACCAAATGCATTTAAAATTTCCAAATTAGGTAAACTACAGAACAAGTCTTAAAGTGGTCTAGCAGAAATTGTATTATGTTATAGAAATTTAGAACTTGCTATTGTATCAAAAAACTTAAACATTGGGTAGGTGTAGTAAACTACCTGTACAAGAGACGCATCAAAATGGCTGATCACTTAACCACCTTGCAGTACCTTACATGGGTCAAGCTGTCCGCTGCAGTAACTGGAAGGGACAGCAGACAGTTCCTGCCTTCCCTTCCATTCTTCACCAGGTTTCAAAGTAATAGGCTTCTCCACACAAGCAGCCTCAACACAGAGCATATGCTTGTACTCATCATCCCCAAAATCAGAAATTGCCTTTGCTTTCTTATCCCATGGATTCCAGACCACTGCAATGGAAAAGGACCATCTGATAAACACTAAAGCCAAGTTTTGTTTTGTATGCCATAACCACTTACGCGAAACATGCAGAACCTTCTATGTTCGCTCAATTGACTTGGTATCTAGCCATAGTTAAATAAACAGTAGAATTCACTTAACAAAATAATAAAAGACAGATTGGTTCTTTGTTATTTCTTTTAATGTTTACAATTATCAAAACAGCTTGTCTAAACCCTATACACCTTCATCAAAATACAGCCTTTAATTTCTTTGATAAGTTTCTCAACATAATATAGTTTTCTAGCAAAGAAAAATGAATGAACAAAAACTCACCAGCATCTGGAAGTCCGTCCTTCCGTAACACAAATGTTCTCTTCCTCTCATGGTCCAGAATAGCAATTTTTGTAGGCGTACTCAGATAAATTTTGTCCACCTTGACAATGAAAGTATCATTTACTAACAAATAAACATATATATAAGAACCAAAACAAAAGTGTCAAAAATACAATGCATCTGGATAAGGACAAACACTAACTTCTGACTCGAATGTTATTGCATCCCCTTGCTCAGTAAATCGCTCTCTACCCTTCAAGTTGTCCAGATAATCCAGTGTCTCTAGTCCTTCCACTCGCACTTCACTAAACAAAGACAACATGACAGTTAATGTGCAAACCACACAAAAGGAACACTTTCCAGCAATGGATTATGTAGATGCACATACAGGGATCTCCATTATGTATTTAACTAAAACTTCTGCTCGCATTTAAATATCACAGCTAGAATGTGGGATGTGTTATTGCCCCTTCAAAAACAATATTAAAAGATAATTTATTTAGTTTAATTGTCTACTAGAATATTTCTTATAATGCTAGAAATGGCATACAATGCAGATCAGAACTAAACAAAATCTGACGAATGTTACCCTAGAATATCATTTTACCATTCCATTTTCACAACCCGATTCTGAAAGGAATTATAACCTGGTGTTTTAAATAAATATATGGCTGAACTAATACTGGTTAAATAACAGCAAGGGCGCAATAATAGCATATGTTTATGATGCTTGCCAGTCAAATACAGCTGCCCAGGAAACATGAATTTGATTATAAAGAATTCAAAACAATAGCAAGAAATTGCATCACTAAACCTGATATCAGTTACGAAAAGATAGGTGTGATAAGCGAATGTGAACGTAAACGACTTTCCATCAGTGTTTGTATTTCGGATGCGGGAAGTCAACATCAAATCTCCTCCTGGTCCTAGAGTAACCCTAAGGCGAAATTCATATCTGCAAGTGATTGCTATTACATCATTACTTGACCGAGCAAACAGAGATCCATGGGATTGCAACAAACATACATTAAAGCAAAAACGAAAAACAAAAATGAATAAGAACTGACATATTTGAAATCTAACACTTCGTAGAGCATAGAATTGCATTCTAATGAACTGATTGTGCAAAATTATAACACTATAATCACATATGACGTTCTATGATATGTCTGTGTATGTATGTGTGTATAAACAGAAGCACAGTTCTGGAATTTTCCTGTTCCAGCCACCATGGAAGCAATTACATGCTACCTTAGCTGAATTAAACATGTAATTATCAAATTTAAGTCCGCTACCTGTGCGACCAGATCTTTGAATCCTCTTCAGAGGGTTTAAGGATTAAATCAATAAAAGCCTTGTTGCCGCTATTTGTTGGAAACGGAGGGGGATCATGATCAATACTCCAAAACCTATTCCTTGCAAATCCATGTTGTTCAAGAGAACCATGACTTCCAAACTGCTTGTGCCAACTAATTATTAATTTTTTTTAAAAAAGAAAAACTACCAAAGCAAATAAAACAGAAGATAAAAGATGAGAAACTCCTACTTGCGGAAAGCAGATTGGAATTCCTCCACGGATAGCCTTAGGAGACTTAAAAGTAGCCTGCAAGAAACATGCATACATTTTAGAAAAGCAGGGGGGAACACATACTGAAAACAATCTTTAGGCCTAACAAAGATCAGATTATCTCATCTCATCCATATGTTCCTCAACAATCATTCTCCCAATATGATCTGAGTTTGTTCTTTTTAGTTCTATGTCCTCTCTAAGCTTTAAAGCCAGCCACGGAGCTACGAATGCAACAGGGCTACTAAGCAAGATTCCCCATATAATTTTAATTTGCTGTCCACATTTAAATTTTTTCTAAATGCATTTGGGACATAATAAAGAAAAAAGTTTGAAATCATCAATAGAATGACAGGTTCAAGCTACATCAAGTTTGCGTTCTACAAAAAGGCTGAAAGAGTGCTTCTTAAAAGTGGGTTATCAGGTTCAAGCTATAACTATGGCATCGATCGCTCCAAGAGGTTTATTGGGTGTTTTGCATGAAAATGGGTTGCATTCTGCAAAATGACTTAACTGTTTAATAACATCCGTGACAATATACTTATCTCATTTAAATAGTTTTCTCACAATAAGTAACAGCTGAAATGTAAGTTGCGCTTGTGCGGATAATATCTAACATGCACATTTTGTTTTCCTAGTCCCTAATGTGACTGAAAACCAATCAATAGCATATGAATAACTAGAAGTAACTTCAAGAAAAGTCATCAGTTATGTAAAGATAAACAACTTCCGTGCAACATCTCTACCAAAATGTGATACCTTGCTACTAACAAAAAGCAACTCTTCCCCATATTCATTTTTCCATGATGTAACTTGACCGCCATACAAATACACCTGTTTCAAAAGTAGAAAAAATATTCATTAGTAATCTAAGAATTAGCCTTAGATGTCAAACTTGAGGACTCATGCACGAAATATAGAGGAACACTCAAGTTAACACCATACAGGCAGAATTCATGAGATTGAATAAGGAATACAGTCAACAAGTTGACAACCACATCACTCTAAGACCATAGATTTTCTTTTAAAGAAGAAAGGAATGAAATATTACACGCAGAAACTTTGTCAAAGAAGAGAATATTGGTACTATGTGGAATGTACTCAAATGCTTTAGCAAATCAATACTAAACACTACACATGCTCGTGAGTGTGTGAGCCACATCCAAACACACACACGAAGCATAGTAGTCCAGAAAAGTTCCATATTATGCGGTAAATTTAAAATACCAAAGGCATTCTCTACCATAAGGTTGTAGAGTTAACATAGGTTAATGGCACACAAACTTTCAAAGAACTTTTTGTACTATGAGATCTATGACATATAACAGGAAACAGATTAGTGTTTGGCATGGGAACGTATACAAAGTGCAAAAGCCAGAACATTTTCATCTTCTGTAGCAAAGTTAACATAAAGAGTAGCCAAGGAGTTAAGAGTTCACATAGGTAAAAGGCACATAAACTTATTTACAGATGTTTATAACTATGAGAGTTATAAAATAGAATAAAATAGAATAAAAGTAATTGACAATCCACACTCTTACTATTGAATAGATCACATGTATTCATATACCCACTGCAGCA